TATATATATATATATATATATATATATATATATATATATATATATATGCTTATATGCAACACCTCTACATATACATACGTGAAAATAAAGATAAAAGTCCGTATACCTCCTTTATCACATCCTCTCCCTCCACCATCCTGAAACCTCCGTTTCCTCCAAGAAGACCTCGGTCTATTATGAATTTTACCTAGTGGTAATAGGACTATCATAGCATTTTTGTCAATAAATGTTGTTTCTACCACAATCTACTTTGATCCCTTCCCTTTTTGTGGTTTCTCTTTTTTACATTGCGGATATTGGTGCGTAACACGCGAATCGCTTTTTACACTTAGGATAAAAGTAATGCTGCGGATTGATTCCTTTCCACGATATCCCTGCGCGTTTATCATTGCCTTTGCAAATCTCTGAGGTCTTGTAGAAGTGTATAACGGAAGTCCATTTTGTCGGGACTCGATCTGAATTTTAATGCCAATAAAATCAGCTTCCAGCAAAATAATTGCCTCTTTGATTCTAATCCCCATGGATCACCAGGTGTTTCCACAGAATTTCGAAAGCTCCACGTCCATTATGTAGCTAAAAACTTTATTTTAAGCGATTCTGTTAATTGAATTGATCTGACTTTGTTCGTCCTAGGAATTATATTCCTATTTTCAAATTCATATTTCAAGATATCGAGAAAATAACAATCGAGCCATCGAAAGTCGAACATCGATCGATCTATTTTATGCAGTACGCACTCGTTTACGATATGTAAACACACGATCTACGACACACGTGAATTTTGACATTCTGAACGTAAACAAGCTTGCGATCGGTTGCGACTTCACGTGAAGGACGAATTTTCGGAGATGCAAAAGGCGAAGAAGAAAGGCAAGCCGCAACAACCTCCCTCGTCCGTCGCCGAGCCCGCGCCCGCGGAATCGCTGACGGACGAGGACGTGGGCAAGGACTTCGGGACTCTCATGAACGCGCCGCTCTCGAAAGGCGGGCACTTCGTCTTCAAGTCGGAGAAGGCCTGGACCGTCGACTCGTCGGAGTACTCGGAATTCTTCACCCTGAACCTGAAGGAGGTGTCGGCCGCGATTGACTGCGTTCCGTTCAACGAATACGTCGACGTGCCCGACAGGTACTTCGTAGTAAGTACTCGTGGAGACACTCGAGATACAAGTGATACTTTAATTGTAAGGACCTGGAGCAGAATAGCTGACTTATAATTTTAAGACAGTGTTTTGTACTTTAAATCTTTGTTCATAGTAACGCACAATACTGTCTTGTGTCACACGTCTTGTATGTACATATGCACGAAGTGTCAATATTTGTAAGACTTGAGACACAAAACAGTATTGTGTTACTAAAAACAAAAATTTAAAGCATAAAACATTGTCTTAGAATTATAAGTCAGCTATTCTGCTCATCAGGCCCCAAGAGATATTCAAGAATACGTAAAGAGATATCGACACCAATCGCACGAATGACTCCCGAACGACCGATTAATTCGACGATTTGCATATTGATTCTAGAGCGATCAGTTGACGAGTATCTACAATGATGCTGAGAGAAGCAAGGCGGCTTACAGCGCAATTCTGGATGAACTGATCAAGGAGAACGCGAAGACTGACCAATCGAAAGATATGAAGTCAACGACAAACGTGAAACCAGAAAACAATCTTGATAATTTAGAAAAAGATCCAGATTCTTTAGGTGATATAGAGGAAGATCTAGATTTTCTATTGTCTCTAAAGGAACCTCTCCCGAGCACTGTGACAGAAATCGCCCAGCCCATGTCGCTATCTACGTCTCGTAGCAGTGGTAAGATCTTAGATTGAAACAATTATTTCAGCATTCTACACTTTAGTAGTTTTGTTTTCGCAAGTTTTGTTCTGAAAATTATGAGGCCAAGTTTCCGTCTTTAAAAAGATAATTGTAAACGTACAATTTGCAATTAGACTAGTTTTCTGCAATGTGATGAAAGATTTATATCGTAAATATTCATTGACGATTTGTTGCAGATTCCAAAACAAAGTCGACGAACATTCCGAATAAACCAATTGACTTGGACTTAGAAAAATGGCTAGACTCTGTTTTAGATGACTAATTTTCCTATATTATTGTGAAAAGACTGAGAAAAAAGGAAAAGTAACAAAGTAGATAATGTAAAATTATAAAAAGGTCGTTTATTTGACACATATAACATGTAAAGAATTATATTTTTATGATTAAAAAATTATATGAATCTATATCTTGTTTTTACATTAAAAAATATACATTATATATTATAATAAACATATTTATATATATTAAATGCATTTTAAAGAGTAACTTATACTTATAGCTACCTCACAGCTTGTTAAAATGCAGTGAAGATGTTAGTCTTTGAACTTTTTTGTAAGAAATACATGCATGTAGTCATATACTACAAGCATAATGGCACCGCCTGGACCTAATCTCAGCACCTTTGGCACCAAGCCTTTGTACAAGGCTCTAAATCTAGAATGGCAGATTTGACAAGTGAGCGACCTCGAGCTCAAGTACAACGATATTGGTAAGTAAAACGTATGTAAATACCCTTCTCTCTTGTAAACAATACGCATGGTGTTCAGTGTCCCTTTGTATTGCGTCTTACCATCTTGTGGTCCCTGAATGCGACTTTTAGCCACGTCAAACGGTATGTTTAAACAGGAAGCGACGGTACCCGAGACGAATCCTATAGCAACCTGGAAAATTTTTGAGTGCACATTACAAACCGATGGGAAAACGTGCAATTTTGTACATACACGTCCTGTGTTAAGTCACACAAAACTGAATGATTACTTTAGTTAAGAATTCCAGCCAAGGTTCTTTACTGGCCGGTATATATCCTTTAACAGAATGATAAAAACCAAAATAAAATGAATTGAACACCGCATTTCTCATTATGGTGGCTGAAAGCCCTTTGTTCAGACCGTTCAATCCATACTTTGAAATTATCTCTTTTGTCACTGCGACTGTTGACGGGCTTTCTTTCACGTGCTTTCGATTAGATTGTAGTTTTACTTTGACCACTTCGAAAGGATTAACTAATATAGCCTCTGTAACACCGGCAAAGAAACCAGCGCATGAGAATGTCTGCAACGATGCAACTTTTTTTTATTTTGCAAATAATTAGCAAATTATAATAATCGTATTAGAGTAATTACCAACGGAGTGGGTGCACTAGCGCCGAATAAGAAAAACTGTTTATATTGCTCAAACGTAAAAAACTAAAAAAGAAAACGTTTTTATAAATAAAAATAAATGCTAGACTTCTATTTGCACATCAGGCAATGTACTTACTTTAACTGCACGTTTGGGAGTTTCTACAAGTATCGGGGGCAAAATTCCCTTCCAAAATGCCGGTAATCCTTCAGTCTTGTACATTTTAGTCATACAATCCCGAATTCCTATAATATTAATTAGCTAACGCATGACACAATACAAATGTTTAAATGCTATATATAAGTACCTGTATAATATAATGGATCTGACTTGGTTGTCTTCACTTGGAGTTGAAAACGCGTTTTAACAAGATCCATTGGATGCATTATGCAAACTTCGATAAAACCTGCCGATCCACCAGCACCAATCTGGATGGCAGCCTCTTTTAAGAGATTCTCCGTGGTATTGCGTGTCATTTTTGCAGTCTCGATAAACGGATCGTCCGATTGATATAAAATACGGGAAAAATAATCAAAATATATTATCTTTCACGTCAACGTAATATAATACCCTATGTTGTCATTTGCTCGCTACAGGTTGCATCTGAAAATAAATAAGTCAATTTATATTCCTTCTGCTGTTGTAAAATTGTAAATAATATACTGTATTACAGTAGCGATTCCCTAAAGTTACATTTATAGTTATTCTTGTGCTCTTGAATCTGTTTGACGTTGCATCACTTATTCTTACCAGCTCGGTTTAACGGATGAAATGGAATAATATGTATGTGCTATCTTCTCCAGTGAGACATCAGAAAGTGTTGATTTATGCGCCGATATACCTGCACTTTTGCTGTATAAATTAAAGTTTCTCTATTTTCACAACCGACACCTTGTCTTGATCAGAGTTCCTGTCAGCATGATCCATACTGCGTGCAAGAAATCTGGAGAACACCACGACCTAAAAATAATGTTTGTTGAGTTGGGATCTATTTTTAGAACTCAGAAAAGAATCCTAACCTTCAATGCAATGATTAATACTTATTCGCATAGAGCTTATACAATTTTTTATTTGCAAACACATCCACAACTGTGATCTACAGTGTATAAATGTATTAAGATGCTTCATTATTAATACAATTAACATATATATATATATATATATATATTACTTGTTATATATATATACTTGTTTTGTAGCTTGCATTGTTCAACTAAAATATGAGAATTAAACGATTTCTATAATTATGTAAAAAAAAGTTGAATATCAGCCCATATGTCATCAAATAATTATTTTCTGGTAATATAAAAGATTTATTATATATATATATATATGTATATATTTTTTTATTTAGTGTATAAAAAATAAAAATACATGCATGTATATTATTGTTAATAAAAGACAATATATAGAGGTATATGACAGGGTTTTTTTACTTGATAGACATGCTTCACAAAAATCTCGATAACGTTTTATCAATTTCATAAATAATTCGACGAGATTATCACCTTTATCTATGTGCATATGCAAAAACACGTGTGAAACATTATTATGCAGACCTTTCTAGAGCAGAAGACCATGTACAAAACAGCAAATTCTACCCGGTAAATTTAGCTAATAAGAAAACATCGTCGTTCCAAGTTTATAACTATTATTATATGTGGTCGAATAGAAACTTTCCCACTCTTGCATGCATTCCGACCGCGACAGAGCCCGCGATCCCGATAACATGGTAAAATTTTCGTATAACACGCGAGAATTTACTTACAACAATCGGCATGCATCAATTAAGTTATAATATCCCGCACGGATCGATTCGCGACGAATCGACGACTCATCGCGAGCGCGTCATCATCACGTTCGTTATCTAACCGCGTTGCATAATTGAGTGATTGGAGAAATTCTCTTTTTCTTTTTGCGTTTCTTTGCGACGTTCGCGATAAGCGAGCGTTAAAGATCGCGTCGACGTGCAAAGTAGACGACCGGATGAATAAAAAGAAAAAGGGAAAGAAAACAAAATAAACAACGAGACGTCGAGCCAAATTTTTCACGTGGCTCGCGGCAAGTCTTACTTTTTTTTTCTTCTTACAAGTTAAGACGTATCACGTAAAAGAACGTCGGACGATCGCGACAAAGCGTTCTTTCATCCCCGCTGATTTCCGCGATCACGTGACACGCTTATTATCTTTCCAAACATGCGTAGTATGCATGCATGCATCTCTCTCTATTCACTATTTTAACGTCCACTTTGACGCTCGCCACTAAATTACGTCTATTTCGATCGCTTGGTTCGATGTTTACAAGTATATAGTTCCGCCACGCACGCGTCCGTCTGTCAAACGGTCAGACGGCCCGGAGGCCCGAGTGACGGACAGTTTCGCAACGCCGCGATTATCGACCGTCTCTCGCTCGCTCCTTCTCTAATCACCTTTGTACCCCGTCGAGGCGCGAATATGTTCGCGAGTGTCTCGAGACGTAAGCGCACGTTATCGCCTTAATGACTCGCCGGCGCACGCACCAACACTAATTCGCTCCCCGACGGGGCCTCGCCTCGTATTCACGGATGTAAAAAGTCGCGCCGTCAATTTCGCTCCTGGCAGTCCGCCGCCGTCGCCGCGCGACGAGTCCGAGTCTCGCGTAATCTCTTCCGGTTCCTCGCTGCTACACGTCTTGTCCATTATTCGATCATTCGTCCCGTCATCATGTCGTCCACGCAAAACAGCGTGAGACAGCGAAAGGTACGTAACGATTCTATTATCGACGATCGTTCGTTCGTTCATTGAACGAACGAAAAGCGCATTGCCGTTGACCGCCGTGCGTCTCGCGTCTTCTTTCATGATTCGTGAATCGAGACGCGCGAGAGCGGAGCGGAGCGAGCACGTCGCACGCATACGTACGCACGCACGCACGCACGCATACGCACGCACGCGAGATCGGGGTTCGAATTTCGAACCGTGCCTCGCGTAGCGTGGCCCTCGCGTCACGTGATCGTCGTTGACACGCGCGACGAGCGCGCAATTGCGCTCGAAGGGCGCGCGATGCACGCGGCACATCGGCGGCCGGCGCCAGGCGGCAGGCGCTCCCGCTCCCCTCCGTACGAGGCTCTCTGGTTTTTTTTACATGATAAGCACCCGTCGCCCGGCGGATCGTACGGGTCGCCCTAGATGCGATACACGCTCGTGAGTGTAGAAACGATGCGGAGAGATATAGGGAAAGAGCGTGTGCTTCCCCGCGTGGCACTCGGTCGCGCTGCTCCCGGCGAGGTTAACGTCGACCCCCCTGCGTCGTTTCAGAGTGACCTCGAGCGAATTAACCAGAATTAACTCGATTGGCGATCGACCTAGGATGACCTTGACAACGAACTCCATGTTGACTTAATCGACGTTTAGCGCTGTCAGATGGAATTCCTCCTGCTGTACCTCGATATACCGTAACGAGGATGGCACGATCAATTTCTTATCGTTCGACACGTGAAAAGGGAGATTAGATTAGATTAGAGGTGATGGATTATGTAATTGGATATAGGAAACGTCAATATTTATTTTCCGCTATTTGCTATATTTTTATATCTATTCTGCATTAGAGATTGCGTGAGCGCAATATTCTACCCGTTGAATTAATCGCCAAGTGGAGTTTGATCAAAGTCATCCTGGTCGATACCTGTTTAGTAGTGTAGAGTGTTTTGTGAAGACAAAGAGAATGATTTTTTTGTCTATATATGTGGAGAGAAAGATCCAAGACGGTAGATTGTACAATCAGAAATTTTGCCGCAGATAATTCGGACTGAATTGAATTAATCAGATTTAATTGAATAATCATCATCGATTTTAAAGATATCCCAAGAATGGATGATTTGAGATCCATCTCGAATCATCAAGACGATATATTCCTTTACACTTGTAACCGTTGTCCTGAATACGTTTTGCAACAGGATTTGTACATGATACATATATAACTTAATCATTTTTAGAGGAATTTCTCGTTCGTACAGGGTTGCGGGTGATACAAACGTGTAATATGTTGCAAATCTAGGTGTAAACTTTCTTACGGTAAACAATATAAGTGAACTCGATCGACACAAATAGATAGAATTTTGTAGAAATTCTCTCACTAATAATTGTCTTGTGTCTTTCAGCTGAGAACTGAAGAACATGAAGAGGAGCGCGATAATGAATTGGCATCCTACCAGAAGAAAACCACCGGCCAGCCAGGAAGGAAGTACTTCACCATGCTGGTGGTGCTTGGTACACTGTTCCTAGGTTACATAGCCATAGCGAATGACTTGAAACCCATCAGGATAGGCAGCAAGGCTATCGACACCCTAGCGTTCTCATTTAATTTACAAAAGCCGTTCTACGTGGTCGTAATCGACGCTGGATCTACCGGTAGCCGCGTATTAGCGTTCAGCTTTCACGAGTCCATTCTCAACGGGAATTTAGTGCTGGATAACGAGCTGTTCAAGGAGATAAAACCTGGATTGAGCTCGTTCGCCGACAAACCGGAGGACGCCGCGAGATCTCTGACCACGCTTCTGAACGAAGCGAAGACGGTGATCCCGCAATCGGAATGGCCTCGCACGTTGCTGACGATGAAGGCCACGGCAGGACTGAGATTGTTGCCGGAGCACAAAGCCCGCGGCATCCTAGAGGAGTGCAGAAAGCTGTTTCAAACGTCCGGATTCCAGATCGCGAGAAATTCCATCTCCATAATGGAAGGCACGGACGAGGGGATCTTCTCCTGGTTCACCGTCAATTTCTTACTCGATCGTTTTAACTCGCTCAGCTCTCAGACCACCGTGGCAGCGTTGGATCTCGGCGGTGGCTCGACGCAGGTCACGTTCCAGCCTGACAGCGCCCAGGCCAAGAAATTGGGGAAGCACGTCTACTCCATCAATGTATTCAATCACAACATGAGTCTTTACACGCACAGTTACTTAGGCATGGGTCTAATGGCCGCCAGAAAGGCGATTTTGACTTACGACATGAATCTTGAGGATACAAATTCCAAAGTTCCCATAGAGGTACATTCCGAGTGCATCAATCCGATCGTATCTGCCGAATGGTCTTATCACGGGCGCGATTACAGAGTGAAAGGTCCGATAAACGGCACGTACAAAGTGGTGAAAACGCAAAACTTTGCCGGCGGGGACGAGAACAAGCCGATAGTACGTTTCGCCGAATGTTTAAAGATAATAGAAAAATATGTCGGCACTCTCACGGAAAGACCAATAGGTTTGAAGGATCACGAAGTATATGCATTTTCATACTACTTTGAACGTGCGACAGAGGTAAGGATTCAAAAAGTTACGAATGTTAAACAAATAATTCATTTTTTCACATATATTTGATCAACTATTAATTTCATAATACAAAAGTAAAAAATTAGAGATATTCTTTAGACTTATATAAATATTAAGCGAGTCATCGACTTATTTGATATTAAAAAGTAAATATCTCTAACATATAAATTATAAACTGTAACTGCTACAATGACAGACATATAAGAAATATTTGTACTATTAATTTTTCAGGTAGCATTAATAGATCCATTTATGGGTGGACGGGTGCAACTGAGTTCATTTTTGAAGCAAGCCATGGAGACGTGCGATTATCCAAACACGGATCAACCGTTCATGTGTTTAGATTTAACATTCATTTATGTTCTGCTAAAAGATGGATTTGGCCTGGAACCGTCGACTAAGCTACACGTAAGTAAAGATTACGTATCGCGATATTATTTTTATTCTATGAGAATATCTTCGGAGATAACAAAGTATTTTCAATTCTTATAGCTTTACAAGAAGATCAATGGCCACGAATTAAGTTGGGCACTGGGAGCCGCGTTCAATGTTCTCCAAAATGGACTTTGACGTTTTATTGTTGTACTATTGTTAGATAAGTTTTTATTCCAGATCTGTACTTTAAAAAGACAAAGCAATGGAGGAACATACAATTGTGAGAAAGAAGAGACGTGTAAAAAATAGTATTAATGAGACTTAACATTTTTTGTATAAAAACTGTGGATTTGGCGAAACATTTGATAATTGCCGACGCACAATTGCCTAATCGTACAACCTGTCTCCTACGATTTAAAGGAAAGCAGTATTTGATATATATTTTTAGGGGTATAATATATTTTTATCTGAAGTATCATGTTATCTTATCTACTTGAAACGAAAGACATATCGCCGCGTATGTATTTATGACAGTTCTTTAATACGTCCGCAATTGTTTCATGTCGATGTGCGTTTAATGATTTTTTATAATCTATCATTTCTTAATTTTGTGGATAAATACAAATTAATGTATTTGCGATATAAATCAACGATAAAATCGATTCGCCTCAGCCATTGTATAAAATTGATCAAAGTGCAATTCACTAACTGTAGAAAATGAGATGAGATTACACGAATGTATTCTCGCGGCGACATATCTGCTACGAAATCGTCATGTAAAACACGGAAACGGTATCTCTGACATATCTCGATGCACAAAAACCGCAGTTCTCATCGCAAATTTAGTACAAAAACAGATTTTATTCCCGATGCTAACGTCTACCTGTTAAAGTATGCCAACAATTAATGTACATAACATTCGATTTTTGTATGTATCGCTGCATTGCGACATTTTATGGGATTCCTTCTACGATACCGCGTAGACGATTCCTCATATTTATTGTAACGCGTCCAGCAGGGCGATGTAATAAATTTGTATACACATTGCGTGTGTAATAGATAGACAAATATTGTTGAGATAGTTCGTACGACCCAACATTCTACAATTATTCTACATACCATAAAAGAGGACACAATTTGCGTGTATGTAATATGTGTATATAGTGCCTTTAAAACGCCGTTTTTAAATAAAGCGAATGTGTGTCGTTACATAGAATTATATACCGTCTTTTATTGTATCCGTTTTGCATTTTATATTATTTAATTTTAAATGTGTGATTTTTTGTACGTTAATATTAATTTCACAATCTATATTTTTTATCACAATAATTTACGTATAGATATTCGATTCTAAATAACTTAGATAGATATTCGATTATTCGTAGGTGCAAACTCGAAAATTTAATTTACATATATCAGAACTCTTGAACACTATATCTAATTATTTTTTTAGTGAATTTTAAAGATGCAAGAATTAAAATTATGCCCATCCTTTCAAAAATACACGTATTCTTCTGATTCTTTCTTGAAAATTTGAAGAATCTGGGTTCCCCAATTAGATTCCGAAATCAATTTCTCGCTCATGGAAAACAGAAACGCGACAATTCATGCGCATCGAAGATTGCAATTGGATCTGTTTCAATCTCTGCGAGATCCTACGAATTTGTGAAAACGCGGCGAAGATGCGTCTTTGCAATGACAATGCGCATATTGTGCAAAGCAATATTTACATGTCTACAAACCCTTCCGACAATATAAATATCCATATTAAGATGCCTATTGTGTGCCTATTGTCGCTGATGCTCTTGCCGCTAGATTATCATCTGGCGGACAAGAGCGCGACTATCTCCATAAAAGAGAAGAAAAACGAGAAAGATAAGGGTTCTTCATGCAAAATGTGTTATCGCGAGCGTGCATCGGGGACGCGCGAGGCATTATTGAGGACTAACAAATGGTCGCTGTTGGAAAGATATGGGTGCAAAGTCGCGAATTATACGCGTTCTCACCTATATCCCTCAAGTTAAAATAGAGACGATGCTTTATATTCAAGAAAAGGAGCGCGTGCAGAATTCGACCTTCTCTTGAGAGGCGCATAAAGAGAGAAAGAGAGAGATCGTCTCGTCACTCGTTGTCGAAAACTCGTTCCAAGAAGCCACGAGGATCATCCGAGACAGACGGCTTCTCTTTCGTTTTTCGCTCGCTGTGAAACGTATCTTTAACAGTGGTAGTGTATCTTAACAGTGGGCTCCATTCTCTTTTCACTATCTTTGTTTTTTTTTTGCGCTTCGTAGGGCGACTTCAGTCAAACTCCGGTTAACTTGATCGACAATCACTTCAACTAGCGGAAACTTGTAAAAGATTTTAGCTGTGCAATCGTCTCTGATCTAATCTGTTCTTCAAATACGTTAAACAAAAAATTAAGAAAATTCTATCCACGTTGACGAAATAATACAAATATTACTTGACACGTTGACTATCGATTAAGCTAATCAAAATTTGATTAAGGTAAATCCTTCGAGTGACTTCAATCAAATTCTGCTTAACCTAATTGATCGGTGATTGATTCAACCAGCAGGATTTATTTTATTTAAAATAAAATTTCGAACTGTGTAACTCATTTTGTCCCTAGTCTAATCCTTTTTGCATAAATCAGTAAATAATAAAACATTGATTAATAAAAAAATTAAATAAACGTTAAATAATAAAATATTAATTATTCTATCCATTATTAATAAAATAGTAGAAGTATTTTGCTCGATAAGCTGATCTGAGTCGACGAAGGCGCATAATCGGAGTTTTCCGTTTTTCTTCCGTTCTCTAATCTTTTTCCTCATAAGCGGCAATTAAATAGCCTTGCGAGACTCGCTTCTGTATCTTTTACGCTTTCCTAGAATTGCTTCTTTTCTTTGGTTGTTTCTTTAACTTCTTAACACATTGAAATAATATCAGCCAGTTCTATTCGTATCATATATAATACATAAATAAAATGCATAGAGAACGAAAAAGCACAGCTGCAAACACGGATATTCGATCAGCTTCTGAAACCAAGATTTTTATTTCTTACTTATTTAACGCTTTGTGAAATATGAGGGAAAAGGTAAGTAAAGTTCGTAGTTGAATTGCTTTCCAACATTTTAATCTTTTAATACTTTGCTTATTAAGCAACTAAGTTATAATTAAGGTAGTTATAGTAATTATCCCGGAGGGCAAATTTGTCAATTTTGAAAGTCCCTGCTACAAGCTTTGTCAATAGAATATCAGCGAAAATATAACAGAATCTATACTAACGGAATATAAGAACAGATTCACACTGCAAAAACTGAGTAGAATCTGCTGTAACACATTTTATTTAAATGTTTTACGAAATGATAGATTCTCTGTTTGGTTTTTGCCGCGCCGCACACAATCTGCTATCTATATACAGGTCTGTCAGCAAATCTGCTGTCAACTTGTTGTTATACCGCGGGCAGTTTTTACTTACTCTTTAATTATCTTAATCGCTTAATTACCTCTTAATTACCTTATCCATACTCTAGTTTGCATCCATCTCGTCATCAATACATTTTTATTACCGTCGTACGAGGGAAAAGGCAAGTGAGCAAAGTCCGCTTCTCTTATTCATATACTCCTTCTTTAATTATAATACTTAATTAAATTAACTTTCCTGGTACATTGTTGAACTTGAAAATGACCCGCGTTCGAGAGTCATTTTGGGAGCTTTCAGGGCAAGCGACAAAAGTCGACACCAAGCATCGTTCTATCTTTCTTTTTTTGCTAACAAATAACAAAGATAAAACGATATATTTGTGCCGACTTGTGTCGCTTGCTGGGAAGCTCTCTTTATAGTGCAAAACACGATTGTCTGATTTTCGCGCGCGATACACATATATACATTGTCTGTTTTCTGTCAATGAACTGGCTGCGCGCTAGTTCAGAGTTTATCTTTTTTACTCCACAGTGGAAGGAAAAAGATAAACTCTGAACTAGTGCAGCCAGTTCGCCCAGTTCAGTAACAGAAAACTATACCCGTACACTCCGCTCGGTGTCACACGGACATATACCAGGCGATAAATATATGGAATATATGAGAATATGGGTCTCTCGGTTAAGCTACTCACACGTCGACGTCAGTCACATCCCCTCTCGACTCCCCCGCCTTTACCCCCAGCAGCCGAGCAGCGCCGTTCACCTACACATGCGTTCATGGTTCATGCGTATACAAATGGAGAACTCAATTCATCAAGGTCAACGTCAACGTCGACTTGAAACAAGGCTGACCCCGCGACCCGCGGATCGTAGATCGCGCCTCTTCCTCACGACGAGAACGAGCGAGAGATCGAGAGATCGGGAGACCGTGCCTGAGGCTGAGGGCCGAGGGGTTATTCATTATTTCATTCCACGTCGATCCCTCGATACCCCCCCCCCCGTGGTGCGGTATGTATGTACATACGTATACGTCGTGGAGCACCCGCGGTAACGTAACGGGTAACGGTGCCAGTTCATGCCAGTTCCCAGATTCCGACGGCGGGCGGACGTGGGCGGACGGGTGAATTATGATGGGAGCGTGAAAACGTGCGCCTCGACCGCGTGAAAGAAAGAGAGAAAAAAAAAAAAAGAATCTGCGTCGATAAATGAGCGTGTCCCCGAGGCTACTGCTAACGACCACCGTTTCTCTGCTGAATGTAGCATGTAACGCGCGGGCGGCAACGTTCCCGCAATCTCGAAAGGTAAGCAACTTTTGCAACAAACGTGCAAAGCTCCTCGCGCTCCCCTCGCCGAAAGTCCCGACGGTTGACCTTTCCTCCCTTCCGCCCTTCGCCGCTGTTTACTTGGCACGTTAGGGTTAGGGCACCGATTCTTCTCCCGTTGGAACATGTCTGTTGTCTTCTAACCTCTAACCGACCGTTAACTTTTAAAAATAGCCAGTAGAAGTCGACTGTTCTGTAAGTTAACGGTCGTTTAGAGGTTAACAATGACGTTGGAAATAGTGGCCTTTTATCGTCCTCGATCGCATGGTGCGGAAACTTCGAAAACGTGTGGTCTTGCAAAGTTCAATGATAATAATAATAATAGTTTTAAGTCTTATCTCCTTTATCTAGACTTCTTTTTCCTCACTCTTGATTGTATTGTCTGTGTTTGTCTATTGTTAAGCCTGTGTTTATAATCTCGCTTATCACGTGATCTTTCCCCCCAGATCTTTCGTACGCTGAAGTCGACCTGGCAACGATCGCTCCTGGAAAATCTATGCAAGAGCCCTATCTGGAAAGCTCTAGTTTCGAATTACCTGGCGCTCTCACCTGGAGCTGTCTCTATGGATAATCCTACGTCCCACCAGAAGTGTACAAAAGTCAAGATGGAACCTTACCTTGACACGTGCTACAGCCAGAACAATACCGCCGCGATGTGCGATATACCGTTTCACACGGCAACGAATACCTTGATCTATTGTCAGACCGGGGCGTTCTCAGACGCGACGCACAGTGTTAGGACCAACGTATGCGCGGACGCCAAGTATGGAAATTACATGGACAAACAGAGATACAGGGCTATAAGAAAATGGAAGCGAGTGGAGAAAGGTAAAAATCTCTCTCTCTTTTTTACTTTTCAAATATTTAAATTTTCAAATGGATGTACAAAATGTATCCTAACATTATTCACTTAATTGTCCTCCCCTCCCAAAGAACGTGATTTCTCAAACATTTTTAGACAGATCGTCCAATAATACGGAAGATTATTTCATATTGAAACTCTTGTCCTTTAATATCCTGGCACAAAACCTGTTGGAAGATCACTCGTATCTGTACATGGGTCACAACAAGAAAGCTCTGAATTGGAAAACACGAAAACCCCTTGTAATACAAGAGATATTCGAGGCGGAGGCAAATGTACATACTTATTCTTCGGCATTTAACAATGCCCGTCAAACCTGAAACGGGAAGATTAAAAGAATACCGTGTGCTATTATACTGTCGAACGTTCCAGGTAATATGCCTTCAGGAAGTGCTGGAGGAACATCTGCTGGAGTTTGTGGCTCCGTTCAAACAACACGGATACGAGTATCTGTATAAAAAGAGAACCAACGACAAGAGGGACGGCCTGCTCTTGTTGTATCGCTCTAATGAATTCGTTTTGTTAGATTACGCGAAGGTGGAGTTGTATCAATCTGGCGTCGAGCTCCTGAATAGAGACAACGTCGGAATAATAGCTAAATTGGCCCTCAAAGATAATCCGGAAACGCAGGTCGTGGTTGCCACTACTCACTTGTTATATAATCCGAGGCGCAACGACGTACGATTGGCGCAGATACAGCTTTTGTTAGCGGAAATAGAGCGGATCGCATTCATCGAGAACACAATGTGAGGGCACATTTTAGTAAAATTACTCACGCTCGTCTGCGTCTGACAAATCTTTATGAAAATATTAAATATTAAATAAAATCAACAACTTTGTAGGGGGGGCCCGAAGTACTTACCGATCATCCTGGCGGGCGACTTCAACTTGGAGCCGTTCACCGGCGTTTACAAGTTCCTAACGGAGGGTTCGTTCGAGTATTGTGGCAAGGGACGAAGTTTAGAGCCGTCGGAATATCGCTCGCTGTCCAACTCTCTGATACCACCGCGATTATGTGTCACCGACAACTGTCAGCACTTTAATGTCCTGACTCAAAGACTGCGAAAGGAGGGTACCGGTAAAGTCATGGTATGTTTTTGACTGTATAACAACTACACATGTACAAGAGTACCTATAGTCTTAATTTTTTTTCGCCGATTTCAACATCTATTTTAATGTAACGCGTATTTCAATGAGTGTCATCAGTATTCGCACTCAGAATCTTTCCGAAGATAGCGTGCTTTTAATTCTAAATTTTATGCTGTTTTTTTTTCAATCTTAACTTTTTTCCTTTTCTAATGGTGTATCTTGAGAATTACTTTTCTAACCGTTTGTTTCTAACCAGTTGGAAAATAGCGAATCGCATCGTCAGAGACGAGACGAGAACGTGCCAACGCCTTGTAATATAAATGTGCTGCAACAAAGTGCCAACAGTGATACCGGCCGCGCGCAAGTCATCGAGATTGCGCAGGGTCATTCCGCGAGATTCTCGTCCGGCACCTTAACGCATCCCTTTAACATGCGCAGCGTTTATACGCACATGAGTGCTCATGGTGAGAAAGAAGCAACGACACATCAGAACGAATGGATCACCGTGGATTACATATTCTACAGCAACATTAAACCTTTGGAGAAATACGCTCTACCTACAGTAAGCCAATGCGCCGCGTTACGCAGAATACCAAATTTTATTGTAGGTAGCGATCATTTGTCTCTAGGTGCCACCTTTCAGTTACCGAAAAAGAAATCTCTACTTTAAAGTTAGGTAGCGTCTCATACATATCGTTTTCTCAATATAATAACTCTCAAACATCACACATAGGTTACGCTAACTCAGTCCGTTCGAAACGTGCGGCATTTCTAAACAGTAAGTTCTTTTTTTTCCCAAAATATCTCGAGTACCAGAAGTTTCATGACATTTTTATTTATATTTTTTAAGAGTGGATATTCTTTTTTCTTATTGTTTGGTGTACTGATAAAAAAAATTCAGTTGGTGCATTAGCTCACGAGACACAAACAAAAAAAACTCAAAAAACTCTGAGTTACGCTGATCCAGTGTGGTATTAACGGGTGGCCCAGGAAGTGTGGTGTTTGAGAGTTTGAGAGTGATGTTTAAAAAGAGATGTATCAAGAACTTTTATTATTGATACTGTTTATGTTGTATCAATCATAAAATGTATCAATAATTTATATTATTGATATCATTTATTTATGTGTTGCTAAGTTCGAAAGATAGCACCTACACCTATAAAGCAGGCAAGATTGCAAGGTGCATTTTGATTTATGAAAGTTACAAATTTACTGTAATATATATTTCTTGCGTAACGTCCAGAAAAAGATTATAGAGAAGTATAATTTTTTTTAGTCTTTGTCTTTAATTTTTGAATTATTTTCGTCAACGACAGGTAATAAATAATTATTTTAAATTTTACCTTTTTCTGATGATAACTAAATGATAAGTATTTTATGTTATTGGTCATCAAGATCTGTTTAAAAGATTTTTTGAAGAAATCTATAAATATTGTGGCGTCGAAAATATAGACCTAAAAAGTGTCGCCGTATTTTATGTAAAGAAACTGTATATCACATATATAGAACTGTGATGTAGCAACTATCGTATAAGAACTATTGACGCATAAAAAGATAAATAAAATAAACAACTGCGAGTCTATGAAACTATATAATAGCAAATGTAAAATATACTGTACAAATTTTATATACGATAATAAATAGAAAATATTCTCTGTAACAAAAATATATTATTAATCTCATTAGTCTACCTTCCTATCTGTTATTCTTTTATAAAATTCTGATCGGATTTATCTGCACGGCGCCTTTATGCAGATTCGGCTCTTTGTACGCCAGCACGCAAGTCTTACCAACGAGATTATTCTCCTTGCGGACGGAACAATTTGCGTTGCAAAACTTTGCGAATTCCTTGAATCTCACTTGCAACTCAGCATCGCCGCCGTTAGGACCGACTAAGAGTTCGCATTTTAACAGATTCGCTCTCCCTTTTATACAACACTCCAAGTATCCGTGGTCCGTTGTGTACAGCTCACTAATGTTTTGAATTTTTATGTTTAAAGCGTGTCTCAGGATGCCGGTCACAAATACATCGTCTATCCAAAAGTATTCGCGGGAAGACTCGGCGTGATCGATTAGTTGACTTGCCACCTGCGGACGCGTGATGTACAGCCAGCCAGAGACGAAGTCGGGATAAACGCTGTTCGCGTATTCCGCCCTGCTCACGTACCATTTGTTGGCTGGTTCTCGAACGGGGATCATATTCTTCATGATGTAACCAGTTAGAGAATTCTCCTCTATCATACCCGAGCGTAACTTCTCTAGTATGCCATATATATTCACAACAATATCATCGTCCATCTTCATAATGTATTTAACGTCTTTGCAATTATTTGCCGCCCAGTGAAGGCCCATGAGATGCTTACGAGTCAAGTTTCTATAAGTGTCCAAAAAATCTCCCTGAAGTATGTCACTGAATCGTCGCGACTCATCCAGTAACGCATTCTGCAGCACGCGTGTCTTCCTTTCGGCATCGTCATTTAACGTACCGAGTAGGAATACTCTTTGGATTCCTAAAACTCGCAACTCTTCATCCGTATAAGCTCGCCGTAAAGCACTTCTCGCCGAAGGTTCACCCGCATAAGATGTGACGATCCATATCAGAAAAGTAGCGTTGCACAACGGTTCGATTATGATTCTAGAAGCTCCTGATGACTTACCAGTCACCTCATATGCCGTTTGAAGCTGCATTAAGTTTACCTTCGGTGTCTGTGACTGTAAACTTCTCTCCACGAATGTAATGAATAACAAAACACATCCTACGCAAGCAAGCAGCAATAAAAATCTGTACTTTGAAAGCATATCTGCTTTATATTTATAACTAAAGTTTAATAATAATTTATAATTAAAAATTAATAATAAAAACTATGACGGTAATCATAATTTCTTGAATCGCAGCATCCTCATATTAGACGTCTCATCTTCCAAATTGTTTATTCTTGAAATTGTCGCGATGGCAGTGAACGGTTCGGTCTTCAATGTCTTCATTGTCGTCTCCACGGAAAAAATATTTGTAATAATTAATATAATTAATGAATCGATTGAATTGCAATGATCTGTGATCAACATACCAAAATTAAATAAATTTCTTCTTGCTTCAAGTGGAGATTAATTTTCTCTCTTGAGCCATTTTCACCTTCTTTCTTCTTTTTCTTAGATTTATTTTTTGTCGTTACATAAAACAAAGGTTCTTTATTAAAAACGTTTTCTATACTTTTGAATTAAATATTTTAACATAAATGTATTATTTTTCGTAATCGAACGTTTAGGTTAGAAACACATAAAGTCTAATTAGGGGGGATTTACATAATGGAATTGCATTCAGAAAAAGAACACTCAGCGGCTAAAGGTGTCCTTACATGTGAGAGCGTCAAGTGTCGAGTGTTAAAAAATCGCGAGCATTTTTTACTATAAAGTATAAAATATGGGGGAAAAAACACGTTATTTTGTATATATATAAGTACAAAAATTATATAAGCAAATTAATATTTTTAATACATCTTTGATACACATATATTTTTTGAAAAATTTATATTATTTTAGAAGAGGATAAATTATTTTATTAAATTAATATTAAGAGAAAACAATAAAATTGATCTTGGACTAATTAAATTGTAAACCGCTTATCTTTCCTCTTTTTCTTTCCAACATCGAGATTGGAGAGAAACAGAAAAAGATAAACAGTGCAAGAAATTCAGAGCTAAAGAAAAGAAAAAATATTACTGGAAATGCATCATATAGCACGCAATATTTGTAGTATTATTTAATTAATTATTACTACGCATGTACAAAAAATTGCTTTGTGCCGTTTAAACAATTTTCGATTGATTCGCCATTTCAAGCTAAACGAAGAAACTCAAATTTCACTATTATTTTTTCATATATTTTATTTATCATAGCAATAATAATACTGATATAATATAATAAATTTATAATATAAATTATCGAATTAAATTCATTTTTGTATTAACAAACTGGAATATATATATACTGAACTGATTTGAGCTGTTTTTGAAAAGCGCACCACAATTAGTCTGAAAATGGCGGACGGTGTCAAAACTCACATTTGAGGGGGAACTCTAGTTCGTACACGTTGAGACTGGTTGAGACGCCGCATATCGGTTATCGGAGCATATCCTATCCTACGTGAAAATTTCGTGGTTCAAGACATCAATGGCTCGCGCTTGTTGTTCATATTATTTGTAATAGCTTTAAGATAATAAGAACGCGAGAGTGTCGGCAATACTCGAACGAAGGGACCGTCTCCGCAATTGTACGATGGCTGAAAATCGGGACGCGATACTGGCTGACTTTCAGGTAATCCGGTAAAACGCCTCGCGAAGCTGCCTCGTACGCGCAGCGCAAATGCGTTGTTAGGTTATGGACGGTTACGTGTATAGATGACATTGACAATAATTCGAGGCATTCGGAGTCGAAGGCGAGAGCCGTCCCGGGAGATTCCCCCCCGGGATCGGCATTCCCCGATGACGGTCGCCAGATTGATCGGCGCTTTCGAACGCGCGACTTTTATCCGTAGAACCGAGCTGACATCGCGAATTTGCGAGAATTCGTGAGAACCTTCGTCATGACTCCTTTGTCATGTCGTGGTCATCCCGTATGCCCCTTTGTCTGTTTTGAAATTTGAAAAATTCCTCGACGAACATCGATGACGTGTCCTCGTGTAAATACGTCATCGTGACTTTCTAACTCTACACGTCATCCATCGCCGCGTGTGTCTCGTCTTTCAAATGTAAAATTAAATTTTTCCAGGCTTGCACGGGAATCGACGATTTCGGAGACGCTATTTTGTATCTGGAGGCAACAAATTGGGATTTACTGGTAGATATAAATACAATGATTAATTGGAGCAATTACACTTTGCGCATTAGGATTAATATCTGTTACGTATTCTTCTCGTTCAGGCCGCGATAAACAAGGCCATGCCCCAGACCACGCAGCAGCTACCGTCTGAAATAACTCCGGACATAGAGATGGTGGAAGAAATTAAAGTAACTCCACGTTCGTCCACGTCGAAGCTGCAGACGGTGCCGACGGTGCAGAATTCGAAAAAAGCGGGAGCCGTGAAAGCAGACGTTGTGGAAAATGCAAAACCTGGGACAAGTAGACCTAAAAGTTGCATGAAAAATAGAACACTTACATTCCACATTAACTATCTCGATAACGTTTATAAAATAAATTTGTCCGAGTTATCCACTCTGAGTAAGTGCGAATATCGTCGATATTTAAATGATTACTAAAGTTTAGACTAGAGTTTAGTCAAGACAAAGCATGTCAAGTTACAAAAACATGTTTTTTTTCTTTCAGGAGAACTCAAACAATTTATATGGTGTAAAACGAGTGTAGCACCCTGTCAGCAGAATCTTCACGGGTGGAAGAAGGAACCTGGGACACCGAATACGGTGCTACAAACGTTAGATCTGCCTAGAGAAAATACATTGTACCTATCAGTGTTGTCGCAAGACGGCGACGTGGCTAATGAAACGTAAGTTTGTAAAGTGTTGTCGATGCAATTTTGCGCTCGTCCACGATCGTCGGTAATCATGAATCTACATTTTTACGCCGCAGCGCAAGTCTGTCAGAGCGTATGACTCAGACTTATACATTGAACGTGAAGGACGAAGTGCATAATAAGACGTACAAGCTGAAGTTTCCCGGCACACGTACTGTGTTGGAAGTAAAAACGGACATCTACTCGTTAATAGATGTGCCTGTACGGAATCAACAGTGGAAGGGTTGGCCTAGCTCACTGAAGGACGATAATGTGATATTGGCACAAAGTGGTATATGTTATCCGGAGCATGATTTGTCCGTCGGGAAGCTCCCCGCGAAGGAAGAAAAGAAGGTAATGTCTCGTCAAATGAGCTCTCTGTTACTTAATAAATATACAGAATTATAATAATATTTGTATCCTTTCAGAAAGTCGTAGATTTAATCGACAGCGATAGTTCCATAGACGAACCAGAAGATGTGGAAGAATTCGACGTTCCGGAAGAGTTCACTGGCGACGACGATATTTTCATAGACGATGTTAAACCCACTAAAGTAGAGCGTCTCAGTGAGTATTTTTTCAACGTAAATTTCAATAAAACTGCTGTTTTATTGAAATCGTATGATATAACAGTAACTGCAATTGAATGAGATATTCTTCTTATTTATAAACAGTGCCAGAAAATGTAGTAGATGAGGTAATGGGTACGTTACATTTCGCTGAGCAATTCGAAAAGCGATACGGACCAGCGCACCCGGACTTCTTCACTGGTACATTTGAAGATGCTCTGAAAGAATCGTGTCTGAAACCAGCGAAAGAGGTTCGTTCTAAATACTAAAAATCGCAGCAAATATCTAAAACCGATTGAAATATGTCTTTTATATTATTGCAGAGAAAATTATTGGCTGTATATTTGCACCACGATAACAGTGTATTAGCAAACGTCTTTTGTACTCAACTATTAGGTTTCGAAACAGTGCTTCAACTTCTTTCGGCAAATTTTATAGTATGGGGTTGGGACATCACGTACGAGTCTAACAAAGAAAGGTATAAAATTTATACGAATGTGTGATGTTAAAAATTTATCGAGCTCGCGTCAGTTAAATGTTCGTTTGATTCGCAGATTTTTGTATTCGGTAACTCAAACTCTTGGTACTGTCGGTTCGTTGGCTGTGTCAGGCATAGATGTTGATACTTTGCCGATTCTCATGATTATTATGAGATCTAGATCTAACACTGAGATATTTACTATCGTACACGGCAATGTAGGTGTTAACGAGTTACTAACGAATTTGGTCCAAGCCGTCGATGTGTTCCAGGTAAGAAAGTACAACTTGTTTCGCACACATGCTTGACATACTATAGGAAAGTACAACTGTATGAATGTAAATAGAGACTTCGGTTTATATAACTGTTGTGTTTTGAAATAGGAGCAAAGACGAGCTGATATTGGCGTTGAAGAAGAACGACAAGCTAGAGAAAGAGTCAAGCAAGAACAAGACAGAGCGTATCAAGAAAGTTTGGCAGCTGATAGGTAATTAAAAAAATATTTATCTAAACTGTTGGAGAGAAGGGAGAAATATGTTTTTACATATATATAAGTGATTTATATTGAACAAAAAGTGCAATATATTCGTAATATATTTTAAGAGCAAAAGAAGAAGCGAAACAAATGCAAGAGGAGCTTGAGAAGAAACAGAAAGAGCAGGCTGAAAACGAAAGATTAGCCGAGGAAGCGAGGAAAGAGGCTCATAGGCAAGCTGTAGAGTCTAGTTTACCACCTGAGCCGCAACAGGGAGCGGGTGATGGCGTAATGAAAGTAAGAGTACGGCTTCCAGCAGGGAAATTCCTGGAACGTAAATTTCAATCGGATACACCGTTACAAACGCTCTTTAATTTCCTTATCGTGGAAGGTTATCCTACAGAGGAATATAAGCTCCTATCTAGTTGGCCTCGAAGGGATGTAAGTAGATGATGTAAGCATTTAAGTTCTTATTATGTAGATATTTGTTTGTGATTTTTTTTTTATATCGTACTTTCTCTTTAAATAAAAGCCAAATCTAAATAAAACCACTAGAGATTTTTTTTAACATTACTATAAAATATTTGTAACATGCTGATACGTTAAATATATTTGTTCTCGTTCCAGTTAACATCCATGGATTCAAAGCTCACTTTGATGGAACTGAAATTCTGTCCCCAGGAAACAGTAATTTTAGAGGAACGATAAATAATACGTTGTAATTAAATTCAAATGTAGAAATTAAGTGTCACGAATATTCTTCAAGAGAATGTATTTATTTAACAACTTCGAGATAGCTATTATACTGAGTCCTGTTTATCTTGCGACTATATACATTTTTACGCTGAATTCTTCTTGTACGATAAAGTCGTAAATGATGCACGCGCGAGTATAATTTTTATTTTATAAAAAAAAAAGTTTCTATATACGTATATTATATAATTTAAATTTCCAG